ACAGTTACAGAGGTTGGAAATGCCATTATGACAGTTAGGAAGGTCTAGGGAAGGGGGCCTGGCTGCTGGGTGGGGGCTTGGGAGTTTACAAAGTATGCTAAGTTTACAAAGGGGGCCCGGTCCGCAGGCAAGGAAAGCTTTCCCTGCCACTTTGAGTAGGCATGAATAGCCAATAGAAGGCACTGTAGTCCCTGAGCAGAGCACAAGAGGTGTCAAAATGGTGGCCCCTCCTTCCTACCCAGCCTGCAGGCTGCCACAGGTGCTGTCAAAATGGCAGCTCCGGTCACAACAGTGACCCTTCCTCAGCCGGCTGCCATCACAGCAGCTGTCTATGGTGTCTATATCTTCTTTCCCGTCTCAGCCTGCTTCTGTGTGAGATACATGAGGAGCTGCCCGCAGGGGTGGCACCTCAGCCAAAGCCACCTTAGGCTGGGAAGATCTTCTAACCCAAGTGTCTGATGCAAGAAAAAGGTGAAAAAGAGCCACCAATCCCTGAGCTTCCCAGACTCCCCCCCCTCCCCCCCGCCCAATCCCTGAGCTCCCTCAAGATCAGGACATGAGACTCAGCAATCCTCACTCTGGAAATCTCTGCCCCTAAAAATGTTTATATAAACCCCACATTTTGTTCACTTCCCTGCTGTCCTCTCCTGGGAGCAGAGGCAGCCATCCCCTGGATTCATCCTCTCCATACCAAGGACCGTCCCAATAAATCTCTTCTTTGCTGCATGCTGTGATTCTCTAAGCAGAAAAAGCCATGAAGCAATGAAGTGAAGAAAAGAAAAAAGAAGTGTAGCAGGGCTGAGGCTCCTGAGCCCAGCTGGGGTAACCCTCCCAGAGGAGTTGAAATGCCTCTTCTGAGGTGTCTTCTTTTCGGAGCTGTGTGGTTCCTGGGATCCTGTGTCTCAAATGCCCTTGTACTGGGACAGTGTCCCACCTCAGAGCTGTGTGATTCCTGGGCTTCCAAGTTCCAGGACACTTTCATGCAAGTTGCAAGGCCAACAAGTCCTTTTGGTGAGTCTAGGCCAAGAAGGTTCACCAAGAGATCCCAACACACAGCACATCTAGTGCAAGAGGTTTATTGGAGGGAGAGAGGAGAGCAAAAGGCCACCTTGGAGTGGGGGCATGAAAGACAGAGACAAAGACAGAGACAGACAGAGGACAAACGTGTGTGTGTGTGTGTGTGTGTGTGTGTGTGTGTGAGAGAGAGAGAGAGAGAGAGAGAGAGAGAGAGCGAGCGCTGTGATGTTGAGGGATCTTTTAAAGGGTGAACACAGAACACTGGAGGACACAGAACTCTAGCAACAGTGGCAGTGCCCTGAACCTGGTGGCGGCTGACGATGGAAGCGGCTGGCACTGAGTTGCTGAAGGCAGGATGGGAGAGTGCCTGGTTTATAACCAAAATGTCTCCTCTGTCTTCAGCTAAAACTTTAAGGTGCAAACCAAGCAAACCCAGAAATTATACAGTCTAGGGGTCTTGATCAGGCTTGTTTGTGAGTTAAAGCATTAAAAGACAGGAAAAATCTCAAGTGCAATGGAAACAGTGCAGAAACCTCAAACACTGTAAACAGAAGTAGACAAAAGAATCAGTAGTGGATTAAAGGCTTTTTATTATGGGTGAGGAAATAGACCCAAGGCAAGTACACAGAGAAAAAGACCCTTAAAAAGCAGAGAAGGGGGACTTGGGAAGCCAAAAAATCTAGTCCTGTTGTGAAGGGTCTTTTTTTTTTTTTTTCTTCAGTCCTTCAGAGCTTTTTTGCTTTTAGTTTAGGGCAGGTTGGTTTGGAAGAAAGTTAGAAAGCTTGACTAGTCCATAACTGTGAAACATGCAGGGATCCTAGTAGCAGAAGAAAAAGGCCTCCAAGGTCTTTGTTTTAAGCTCCCAGGCTTTGTCTTAGGTCAGGAGAGTGGAGCTGGCCATTTTGGTTATTGCTTAACCATGGCCCCTCTCCCTGTCTGCCTGCTTACCAGGGAGTCTGTCTAACTTATAGTCCCTCAAAAGCATTCTAAAACATCAAACACACACCCCTTTTTTTTTCCAGACAAGGTTTCCCTGTGTAGCCCTGGCTGCCTTGGAGCTCAATCTGTAGATCAGGCTGCAGCTTGAGTGCTGGGACTAAAGGTGTGCACCAGCACACCCAGCTTTAATCTTTTACACATGTGCTGCAAGACTCTACCCCACCTCCACTCTTCCTGCCTTGGCCAAATGTCTTTACCTTTTCTTTTTCTTGTGTGGATGGGTGTTTTGTCTGAGTATTACCTTTGTGCCTGGTGCCCAAGAAGGCCAGAAAAGGATATTACATTTTCTGGAACAAGATTTAGAGGTTTTAAGAAACCATGAAGGTTCTGGGAATTGAACCCAGGTCCTCTAGAAGAGCAGCCAGTGCTCTTAACTGCTGAACCATATCTTCACCCCCTAGCTTTTCTTTTTAAAGGAAATGACCTTATGGCAGGGCATAGTGGCCCATGTCTTTAAGTCTCAGCACGCAGGAGGCAGGGGCAGTGAGTGTGGGCCAGCCAGAATCTCCTAGAGTTTTAGATCAGCCATGGCTATATAGCTGATTAGAAAAATTGAAATGATTTAAAATTTCTTTCAGTACTTGTAGCTGTGAGTAATATGTCCTGTGCTCTGCTTCTGCAATCTTACATCAGCTGAATACCCCTCCTCTTGGTAAAAAACAGACAATTACAAAATAATGTTCTAAGCCCATAGTTCTGCTTCTGTAAACATGCTTGCTCAGAGGCCTTGGTTAAGTAGTCTAAAATTCAAGCTCCTCCAACCTTACCCATTGTCTTCAGTCATGGGCTAAACGTGCCAATAATGGAGAAGGTAGAAAATGATGCTGGGCTAACTATGAATGCTAACTGAGCCTCAGGGCAGAGCTCCTCAGAGCATTAGCTAAGTTGGCCTGCCAGGGAGGCCTGCCAGCATAATGAAGATGAATTCTCCAACTCTCTGACTGTGCTTTGATTTCGAAGTCTAATTTTTGCAACATATGGGAATGTTATCTCTGAAAGAAAAAGAAGACAATGACGACAGCGATGAAGGAGAAATAAAATTACCTTAAATTGAGCAAGATCAGGAGTGTAGTCTTTAACTGAGCACGTGTAGAAACAGACTGACCGCTCTATGAGTATGTATAGACTTCAGGAATAAAACCTCCTCCAGTCTGTTGTTCAGAGAGCACTGCTATTAGCACGTGCTCTTCTTGCCTACTGAAAGTAACGACTCTCTCGCCACCCTTCTGTCTTGACTGTGCTGAATTTGGCTCTGCACTCTCCAAGACTGGAACCCACTGCGTTCAGTTACACTACTGATTCTGACACAAAAATTACAGCTCTCATCTCAGAAAGAGTAAATGTTTATTCTGGAGCCAAATTTGGGTGATTACAGTCCAGGAACATATATATACTCAGGTCTTCCCAAGTACAAATGTTCCAATGTGGAAGCAGTTTTATGGAGCTTTTATAGTACAGAACAAAGAAAAATTGAAGTCAAGGTATTTTAAAAATGTACTGGAGGCAGCTAGGTGAGGTGGCACACGCCTTTCATCCCAGCACTCAGGGAGGAAGAGGCAGGCGGATCTATTGTGAGTTTGAGGCCAGCCTAAGCAAGCCAGTCCAGGACAGCCAGTGCTACATAGAGAAACCCTGTCTCAAAAATTCAAGAGAGACAGAGAGAGCGCACTGGTGGAAACATTAAGTTACAGTTACAGGCAGAGGAGTCTCACCTAAAGGCCCCAGATGCTATCTGATAGTAGCAGATTGGCCTTCTGATAGGCGAAGAACAGATTTAGGTTAATACAGTGCAACGGTGTTTCTCTGTTTTTCAGGATGTTAGGTCTGGCACAAAGGGGCACTATGGGCTCTTTAAGAGAAACAGCTCTTTAACCCAAGAGAAATAGCATCATTTCTAAACAGTCTAATCCCTTCAAAGTAAAAAAAAAAAGTTGTAGTAACGTTTGCTTTGTCTTTCCATTTTCCTGGGATCCTGTCTAAATCCCACACGAGGCGGTGAGTACGGGGCACCCAACTGTGCAAAGCAGAGCTTTATCATTTACGCGAGTGTTCCTAATCCTCGTCCTCACCTGTGTCCGCTAATCTCTCTCTACCACCTGTCTTGAGCATCCTTTTACTGCACAAGGACAAGTTTCAAGGCTCTGTGTTTGTTTGCCCCAACCTCTGGTTTCACATAGGATAGCAGACCCTCCCTTTGAAAGAGAAGAGGAAAATAGGAAACTTTAACATTGATTAAATATGGTTAACAACCTTACAATACATTGCCTTAGGTGAAAATAAGAAAACAGAATAAGAAACTGTCTCGGATCTGAGAAAACAGAGTAAAGTGAGTTGCTGACTTCTGCTTTGGTAGCCTGCCTGCCCCTCCCTCTTCTGAAGGGCGCATACATCTATTCTTCTCCTTTGAGAAGTGAACACCAATGTCCACTTACACAGCAAGTTCTGTTTGCTAAAGATGAAACCGTCTTCATAGAAATCTGCAAATTCAGATTCTGTAAAACTTGCTCAGCTCCGGGAAAAACTTCTGTTGAATAGGGATAAAAAAACAAAACAAAACAAAACAAAAACAAACAAACAAACAAACAAAAAAACACCCTAGGACAGTCACAAGATTCTGACAATATCTAACATTATAAACCACGGAATGTTTCTGATCCGGGCTGAGTCTCTTTACCCAACAGCTAAAGGCTACAGCTGCTCAGAAATTAAAGGTTTTCCTTTATCTCTAAGTGCTGAGAAAGGCCCCACTGCCCTCAACAGCTTTAGGATCTAGAACCAACACCTCTAGCTCTGACCCGACCTAAGAGTCCGGAAATATTAGTGCGGCGGCGGGTTGACGAGATTTGGTCTTGTCCACCAGCAAGCTCTATTTCCGCTTCCTGCTTCCTTTTAGGGTCTCCTCCATTAGGGTGCCCGAGCTCGAGATCTGACCCCGCCTTCCGGTCCAACGCGTCACCACCCCCTTCCGGCCTGGTGGCCGGAAAACCCGGAGACAGCTGGGAGCGCATGGCTGCGTCCCCAGCCGGCCTGGTGGAGCTGGGCTTCGCCGAGGAGGCGCCCGCATGGAGGCTGCGCAGCGAGCAGTTTCCCAGCAAAGTGGGCGGCCGGCCCGCGTGGCTGGGCCTGGCGGAGCTGCCGGGACCCCGGGCGCTGGCGTGCGCGCGCTGCGGCCGTCCGCTCGCCTTCCTGCTGCAGGTGTACGCCCCGCTGCCGGGCCGGGACGACGCCTTCCACCGCAGCCTCTTCCTCTTCTGCTGTCGGGAGCCGCCGTGCTGCGCCGGCCTGCGAGGTGAGCGGCCCGGGGGCAGGACCTAGGCTAAGAGGCGGCGATGTTCGTGGGCTGCCGCGGGGAACCAAACCCCGGAAGCACGATGGTCGGTTGGTGTGGTGGTATTCAGGTAATAGAAAAATTATCTGCTCTAAACGTGCCCCCACTTCAGTTTTTCATCCTTCTGCAGTCAGAGTAAACTCGTTGACACTATTTAGAGTCAGGAAGTTGCCCGTGCCAGATGGACCTCTTTCCGGTTTTAAAAGCTCTTTATCTTTCATTTTTATCCTCTCTCCTATAAAAACCTGCTCCCTGAAAGCAAAGACCTCACTTCCCCCCCCCATGACATTTTATGAATTGGAAGCGCCAAACAAGGTTCAAATATTTGAATTATTTTGTTTTACTGAAAAATACTTTAGTGTACTTTTTTCTCCGCTTTGTTTCAGTTTTTCGTAATCAGCTACCAAGGAAAAATGAGTTTTACTCTTATGAGCCACCTTCTGAGACGGGAGCTTCGGATACAGTGGACTGTGTGTGCCTCCAGCTTAAGTCTGGAGCCCACCTCTGCAGGGTCTGTGGTTGCCTGGGTCCCATGACATGCTCTCGCTGCAAACAGGCACATTACTGCAGTAAGGAGCATCAGACGTTAGACTGGCGGCTGGGCCACAAGCAGGCCTGTACACAGTTGGGTAAGACATCCGTTTTCAGCTTAGTTTTGCTGCTCTGTCAACCCAGATACTGTAGTTCTGACTAAAGTTGAAATTAGAAAACATAATCCTTTAAGAGTTTTGAGAACTGGCAACATGAGCACTTTCATAGTGAAGGAGCAGTGTTGAAGTTAGCCATGTGGGTGGCCTTTCTTGAATATTAGTTTTTATGACTTACTAATCTAAAATACAACCATCTTCACTAACAGGGATCTTAGTTAACAGTGGTCAAGCATGAAGTTGTGCTGTGCATTGGCTGACAGCAGATATGTACATTGCTGATCTGATAGCAATTCTTAATTGTTAGTGTCTCTGTAGACCGCGTCTTAGCGCTTTATTCATGATTGCGGTGTTGGTGTAAGCAGACCTGTAGTCTCAAAGGCCTAGGACATGAAGTTATGTATAATATCCATTACCTGAGAACAAGTCACTGTTAACAGTTGGCACCAGTGGTGGTGCTGATACTCAAGTGCCAGGGGCAGGATTTTGAGTTCGAGGCCAATCTGGGCTACACAGTGAGAGCCTATCTCATAAAACTGAGCATGCTGTGTTAAATGTGCAGCAGCTTCACGCATCTAATGTCTGTTACTTCGCTTGATGGCTTGTCTGAGGCTACACATACCATAATGTTGTTCAAACTGATGAAATCATTGGACACATCTCAGAACTATGTGTTAGAAATGGGAAAATTTTTCATCATCTCCAGAACTGTTTATTAATGATGCTAATAACTTTCTTATAGACCATTTAGACCATACAGTTCCAGACCACAACTTCCTGTTTCCAGAATTTGAAATTGTAACAGAAACAGAAGATGAGATTTTGCCTGAGGCTGTGGAAATGGAAGATTATTCTGACATTGTAGGAAGCATGGGTAAGGAGTCCGTCCATCAATCTGACAGTTCAGGGAAGACAGGCACCATCAGTATGTGTCTGTGGTGAGGTAGAGAATATCATGGTAGAAGACTGCAGATCAAAACAGTTAACTGCTGAATATATGACAAGGGTCCTTTGTAATTTAGTCTTTTAGTTTTACTTTTAGATACATGCTAGCTTATTTTCTCGGGAGCTCATGCTTTAGGGCTGTGTCTGTGGTGACCAACACGGGTGCTGATCATAAATCCAGCATTCACCCTGCCATAGGTTGCTTATGCATGTGCTCACTCAAACACTCTTTGCATCATGCTTCCAGTAAAGAAACTGAAGTTCTAGGTATCCTGTGTTTGAACAAAGAACTTAGGTTCAGATCTGACACTACAGTGTGAACTATAATCAGGTTTGTAAAATCGTAATCAGATTCTCAAGTTTAGTCGTTTGTTTGCCACAAGCATTAAACAACGCGTGTGAGAATTGTTTCGTGGCTCAGCTCATGCTTGCTAACAGAAATACACAACAGGAAGAATGGTACCACATAGTCAGGGGTCTGTTCGAAGGAGGGAGTGCAGAGAGCGCTCAGCTATGTAAAGTGTCTTGTGACTGGTAAAAGTTAAGGAGAAAGGCTGGAGAGATGGTCAGAAGTCACAAGCACTTGCTGTTCTTGTAGACGACCCAGGTTTGGTCCCTAAAACCTGCACGGCAATTTGTAACTCTAGTTCCAGGTGATCCAGCGCCCTCTTCTGGCCTTGAAGTACACATACATATAAACAAAACATTCAAAAACAAACAAAGAAACAAACAAATAGGAATACATACAGCGTAGGAGCTACCTGGATAGAACTTAAATGTGTCTATTCATGTGTGTACTGTAAAAAAAACTGAAAAAATCAGTGAGCATGTTTTTTCTTTCATTTTGAGAGAGGTTCTAATGAAGGCCAAGCTGGCTTTGAACTTGTCCTCCTGCCTCCACTTCCTGAATACAGATATTACATCATTTTACATCTGTCTGCTGTTATCTTAATGAGTAAACTTATATATAGGTCTAGGAAAATAGTACAGAGTTACAAAACAATATAGGTCTGAACTTTTATTGGAAGATGCCAGCAGCTCATGAGTACATTTATCTACAACAAAGATTTAGAAGTAACGACCATTTTATTTGTAGTTGGCACTCCAGATCTAGGGAGGAAATACTCAAGTAATGAACGAAAGCGGTTATCATCAGAAGTTAACAGCTAAGAATTCAGTTGCCATGATTTTAATCCAGCACTTGGGAGGCAAAGGCAGGTGGATGTCTTGAATTCAAGGCCAGAGTGGTCTATAGCACAAGTTCTGGGACAGTCAGGGCTGCACAGGGAAACTCTCAAAAAACCAAAAGAACTCAGTTATCAGTTGGTCTATATACAGTTCTATAATCCCAGCTACTCAGGAGGCTTAAGGCAGGATTTTAAGTCCAAGGTGTTCTATGGCTACCAAATGAGTTCAAGGCAGACTGAACAAATCTGAGAGACCCTATCTAGAAGAATAAAAATGATGGGGGATGGAACTCAGTGTAGAACATTTTATCTAACATGTACCAGGCTCTAGATTCAATACCTGGTTCTGAAAAATGCTTCATTAACCATCAATAATTATTTGTAGATAACAATGAAGTGACTTGGGGATCTTGAAATTTGATTTGAACCAGATTCTTGATATCTGACAGTTAACTACAGTGTTTTCATTCTTGTGTATATTCAGCGTTTACAAGATAAAATTTTCAGAATGCTTCCCTGGAGTTACCGTGTCCTAGCTGAGAACTGGTCCCTGGGCTGGGAAAGGCTGGGAAGGAGGACACAGGAAGTATGCCCATTGAAGTATCTTAAGGGCTTCTAAAGCTTCTGCACTTGTCGAACATCCGTTTGAGGGAATTTACATGCATACTGGCTATTTATGGCAGTAAGCACCATTAATCAGTGCCCTATTAAAATAGTGAAACTGAATTTCAGCTTCTCTGACTCAGAATATCCAAACTGTACTTCAATACATGTTACTAACACTAAAGGTTGTATTGGAAGCCACTGGCCTGCTGGGAACAATGGGGAAGGGTACACAGAAGTCCAAACTGGCTGTGGAACAGGAGATGGCATTGCATGGCCACATGAATGAGTACAAGCTGGAAAGAGATGGATGAGATGCAAGGAGACTGGAAGAATCCAGACAGTGTGATGAGCACTCATTGCAGGCAGTCCTAAGATGGACTTGCTGCACTCAGAGCCATCATCCATATTTTAATATGAAGCCGTAGAGACTAAATTTATAATGATTACATAATGTTAAAAATAAGCACAAATTTTACTTGAATAAAGGAAGCTATCTAATTAGAACTAGGTTCCCCATACATTTGACTTGTCAGATTGTGGGGATTCTCCTAATATGCCATAGTTATTGTGTATGTGCTTTTCCCACCAGGGGGAACACCCGAGGAAGAACTAGATTCCATGGCAAAGCATGAATCCAAGGAAGATCACATTTTCCAAAAATTTAAATCCAAAATAGCCCAGGAACCTGAGCAGGTGAGAAGGGATTTCTACCTCTTCACTGTTCTCAAGATGACAGTAACACCTACTTCTAGCTCATAAAACAGATGATTCACATGCCTATTATTGTAGACTTATAAATACAACACATGTTAATGTTGAATTTTCCCCATTAAGTTACTTTATCATAAAAAAATCACTAAAGGCAGCTTCCTAAAAATACTGGATCAAATAAGCATCTAGGATAACAGGAAGCTTTGATCTGGCTGTAACACTAAGATGGTTTTTAGCAGTGGTGATACATGTTTTACAAAAGACAGGAAAAACACTCTGAAGCTGGTTACACTGAATTTACTTTTTCAAAACAATTTAACCAAACCCTGTGTGTGACTATATATGTATTTAAATATTTAAGGATCCTGATTATATACGAAGACAAGTACTACCTTGGCCTATGTTTCGTATCACAGACATACAAAATTGTAAGCAGCTATTCTTAACTGCTTTACAGGGTAGTGGGGCCAGTGCCTGCTGCTTGAGAACCTGAGTTTGATTCTTGGGACACAGTGGAAGGAGTTGACTTCCACAAGTTATCCTCTGACCTTCCTGCTCATACTTTGACATGAGTGCTACCATGTGCATGTGTATGTGCACACAATTTTTAATTGTTTTAATCATGGTTCCTTTTTGATTTTTAGATTCTCAGGTATGGAAGAGGTATTCAACCCATTTGGATTTCTGGTGAAAATATCCCTCAAGAAAAAGATATTCCAGATTGCCCTTGTGGTGCCAAGAGGATATTTGAATTCCAAGTATGACCTTAAAAAATTACTGTTTTTACAGAATTTGACAGAATGTAGGTCTAGGTGGCTCAACCTGCCAGAATAGAGGGGCTGTAAGTCAGGACAGACAAGATTGCCCACCTTGACTTATTCTTCTCACTGTCCTTTTCTCAGGTCATGCCCCAGCTGCTGAACCACCTCAAGGCAGACAGACTGGGCACAAGTGTGGACTGGGGCATCTTGGCTATCTTCACCTGTGCTGAGAGCTGTAGCCTGGGCACTGGCTACACAGAGGAGTTTGTGTGGAAACAGGATGTGACCGATACACCCTGATAAGGATTAAATGCTTTAGAATGTTCCTTACGAGCCAGGTGTGGTGGTACAAGCCTGTAATCCCAGCAGAGGCAGGCAGATCTCTGTGAGTCTGAGGCCATGCCTTAGTACCTCACAATTTCATCTCTAGGACTTTTATCCTAAGAAAGCAGTTACCAAAGACAGAAGTATGAAGATACTGCTTTGTACACTATTTATAAAGTCTTGTGTATTACAAAACAAAGTATCCAATGTCAGGGAATTAAATTTTAGATATACCCACAACGAAGGGCAATGCTAAAAACATGCATGGACACCAAGAGGGGTATAAATTAACACAAGGATATCACTGATGATGTTCATGGTATGTTGTTAATTGTATTGAAATAGCTGTGTACACATTAGAAATAAATATGCTGGATTGTTCAGCTGTTTGTTATTATTATTTTGAGTATATTCATGTTTTTTGTCTTCATGTATGTGTACCACATATGTGCCCAGTGCCTTCAGAGGCCAGAAGATGGTGTTGGGTTCCCTGGAACACTTGTGAATTGTGAGTGCTGGGGATCAAGCCTAGGTCCTCTGCAAGAACAGTTAGGGCTCAATTAGTCTCTCTAGCTCCATCTCAGCTGTTAAGAGTTTGCGCTCCTTGTCCAAAGGACACAAGTTCAGTTCCCAGCACCCACACCAGGAAGCTCACAACCACCTGTTAATACCAGCTTCAGAGAATCTGATGCCCTTTTGTGGCCTCTGTGGGCCTCCTACAGGGTCCTCTATGTGGCATAACTCGCACAGATACACAACACACACATAAACAAAATCTTAAAGAGTATCTGTAAAGGTAACCTTCACATGTATATTTCACAGCATTTGGCCACCTATAATTTAACACAGTGAGGTGTGTAGGTAAAACCAAAGTAGGCATTATTGTCTGGTGCCAGGACAAGGAAAAACTGAGCTTTTAGACTAAGAGGATGGAGAAACCATTAAAGTAGTAGTACCAGGTTTGACAGGAGGCTAGATTTGAGGAGGTCCTACTTCAGAGCTGACCTTGAAAAGCCAAGGGGACCTACATATGGAAGACTGGGAAACAAGGCCCCTGTCTTCCCTTTGCAAATACTATGCACCGATTATCTTCATAGGTGATGAAGGACAGTGAACAGAAGAGAAATTGTCCCAGAAAGCAGCAACCTGATTAAAGGGAGGTCCTGGGGCCATCTTTCAGGTATGGGGTGTTCCACGATACACTGCTAAACAAGTGCTTCTAGTCATCACTCACAAGTGAATTCCCAGCATCAGAGACTCACTAGGACAAACCTAACAGAGCTGTTTGTCATGTTACCCTAGCATTCTTGTTCATTCTCAACCTTAAATCTGCCAATTTTCGAAATTTCAAGCTTGTATCTCATGGTACTACCACTATCTGACTATAGCATATTACACAAAGTCCTGGCCTCTGAGTCTATACCATGTATACGCACATTAAGATACATGTAGGACTGTTGAGAGATTCCCATGGGGCTGCCTTTAAGGGAGAAATGCTGTTCTTTTTAACTTGAGGTAGTTAAATCACCAAGAACCACATACTAGTAGTATAGTCCACAGCAGATACTGTGGAAGGAATTTGCAGCAGATGGTGGCATACATGTAGGAACAGTGACTCAGGAAAACCCAGAGGTATGCATGTGGAGTCACATCCCAAGTTAGCCAGTAATCATGTCTACTCAAAATGTATTACAAAATACTCTGAATGCTAAGGGCTTTTGAAAGTAAATACACTAAGGTATTTATAAAAGGCAAGGGCTATTGGGGATACCCCCAGGTCATGTGGACATGAATGTACGCAGCTAAGCACTCAGTACATCCTGGTCAACCCTGGAGGCCTATAGATTTAAGGCCACAAACTATTAATCTGATCAGCCTGGGCTAGAAGTAGCAAGATCTCTTGGTTGTTTTTTGTCAACTTGACACAAACCTAGACATACCTATCTGGGAAGAGGAAACCTTGAGAAAAATGGCTCCATAAGACTGGGTAGGCAAGTCTGTGGGTTATTTGTCTTGACAATACCCCAGCTCAATGTGGGTGGTGCCACCCACCACCTTAGGCAGGTAGTCCTGGCTAGCATAAGAAAGCAGGATGAGCAAGTCAGTAAGCAGCATTCTTTCATGGCCTCTGAGTTCAGTTCTGGCTTCCCTTCATGATAAGACTGCAACCATAATCTGAAATAAGCCCTTTCCTCCTCAAGTTGCTTTTGGTCATGGTATTTTATTACAGCAAAAAAAAAAAAAAAAACCCTAAGACAACCACTTTCTCAAAAAGAATGCTTGCATGTGTGATCCACAAGTACATGCTAGCTTGACCTTAGGAATTAAGGGTTCTACTCTGGGGTAGGTCAGTTACAAAGGCCACTCAAGCACAAGATTCTGTGTTCTATCAACATTATGACAAAAAATAGTAATAAGGCTAAAAGAATATGCGTAATAGAGAACTGTTAAATAAAAACTTTGGTGAACTCCAGTGGCTCATGAGACTTATAATCCCAGCTACTTAGAATAAGGCAGAGTCACTGAGTTTACGGCTACCTGGGTTATACAATCCTAACCATGACACCCTGTCTCAACCAAAAACCAAAAACCAAAGACCAAAGAAAAAGTAGAAAGAAGCCAGGTATATTAAAGTCCCAGCCAATGAACTGTTGAAAATAAATATTGGAAAGAAAAAACAAAACTACTACCTGCCTAGAACTGAGGGTTCAAAGATAATCAACTATTTTAACAGCAGTAACAAGAGTTCAATAAGTGGACTGGAAAAAGTTAAATATATATCAACATTTTCCCCTAAAGTGTTATGAAAAATTAAAACAAGAAACCATAATGTAATAATTAACTTTTATGAAAAGAAAATGTCTCAAATAAAAAGAATTATAAAGCTTTAAAAGAAACACAGAGAAAACCTGTTTATATGCAGAAATAATCTTAGAGAGAAATGATGCCTTCCAACTAGTTCACATATTACTGATATCAGTAATGCCTAGGAAGTGCTAGAAAGGGTACTTTGTACATTTTTTTGGGGGTTGGAATCTAGTACTGATTTGTCAAAACTCAGAACACATAAAACACAAAAATGGTCTATAATAAAGCAATTCCTCTTGTAAAAGTATCCTAGAGGGATCTAGTGTGTGTTCAAAGTACACATACAAGAATACCTGGTCCAACACTGTAACGTGCATGGGATGTACCAAAGGACCAGCACTAAGAGAACGGTTCAAATAAAGGCATGTAGGAGACATCATATTGTCTATCGTGGAAGTATAACTAAAATGCTGACTGCAAAAATGAAAGTGTCACAAAAGAACATATGCTTCAGTATTTTTCCAAAATGGAGATGAAAAGCAGCCCCAAATGACAGAATTGCACATTACATCTGGTGACTTTGACACCCTAGTCCATCATCTCCTCACCACACTTCACAAGTCAGAAGGCAATACCCACCCTATCACCCCCCCACTCCATAGTTCTTTCCCATACTTGGTCCTGAGTGATTTGGCTGTTGCAGGATATTTGATCACACAGGGAACCCCGAGAGTGTGAACTGGAAACCTGCTTCTTGTGGTACAGCTCAGCCCTAGCATACACCTTTAACCCAAGAACTTTCTGTTTACTGTAAACAGATGGTTGTGATGTGGCTCAGCCCTCGACCACACCTTTAACCCAAGAGCTTTCTGTACACAGGTTACCATAAAGTCAACCCAAGGTCAAGAGTTGGAACGAGCAACCAGTTGACAAGAAGTAGTAAACAGGGGAAAAAAACCATAGCGAGGGAAAGTGAGTCTGGGGAAAGGATACAGATGGTATTTAAGACAGTGGAGAAGGAGAAAGCTTTGATCTGGGACGTGAGCTGAGTAGGAAGGTCAGCTGGGTGCTTTCTCTGCCTCTCTGAGCCAGTAGGCTTTCACCCCAGCATCTGGCTCCTGAGTCTCTACTGGTAAAATTGAACAGTTGGGATTTAGACTTTTTATAACACTACATGGTAACTGGCAAGCACTGAGGACTAAAGCCTTATTCACGTAACTGCTGGTGTTCAATGGAGATCTTCTCAGTCTTGTTATCTCAGACTAGTACTCTAGTAACCCTCAAGTTCCGGAGACTAATGCCAACTGAAAACAGTCACTTACAGAATTTCCTCCCTATCTGTTGCCACCATCAGGCATACGGAAGAGCTCAGGCATAAGCTAGCTGAAGAATTAAAAGACACTCACTAATCTGGAAGTTACCCTGCATAAACAGGTAAGAGGATGGAAAGAAAAATATTTTTTTCCTGATTATACATACCCTGGAATGTGCAAAATGTACTTTTATAATTAAAAACACAAAATGCCCCCAAAATAACCTAGACTTATAAATGCTCACCTGGTATTTCATGATAAAAACAGCATGACAAAAATGTTATACCAGAGATCTAGCAATCTGTGGACAGGGAATCCTACATTTGAATTACTTACTCAGAGCCCTCCTGTGTCCCTTACCAGCTATAGAAACTTGGACAAGGCTCTGGCAAAGGTTGAAAAAGGAACAAAACATAGTTTGATGAAAACCCACGCACTGTGTACTACCTAGGAAACAGAGGTTGTTCAATCAGAATCAAAAAATAAGTGGCATGTCCATTTTCACTGCAACAGACAAAAAATATTAACCAAACAAAAACAACAACAAAAACAGCAAACAAAACAACGGTCTCAGATGTTATATCTAAAATAAATTTCTTTGACAATATGATCACATGACTCTTACAAGGTATCATTTATAACAAAAATCTAACAATTTATAAGCTGCATTTGTGTGTGTGTGTGTGTGTGTGTGTGTATGCAGAGTACTCTGAAGAAAAGTATGTACAGCCATCTGTTTTGATTAATACAGCTATTCAGTCCTGCAATACTGGGAAGGCGGAATGTATCTGGCACAAAAATAACTCCTAAGAGTTACAAACTAGAAAAACAACACTTTTAAAAAAGATTTTTACTTTTCTGGTAGAAATATAAAAACTGGCTTATGTGGGAAAGGCTAAAATAAAAAGCCCAATTGTACAGGCGGCTTGAACACGTAAAAGTTTTGTCCCGTAAACCAATAAACTCACCAACAGCAGTGTTTAAAATCTAAATATAAATAAGTGGGCAGCGCTGCCCAGATAGCAGCAGAGCAAGCGACTCACAGTGATGCTGCAGGGTGATCTCAGTGCAGAGGAGGTAACCTTCCAGCATCCTGCAGGACACAGAGTCACTTCAGGCTGCCGCCTGGAACTGGGTGTCCTTCTTCTCACAACTGTACCCTCAGTGGTACCAAAACTGACTGGTTTTAAAAAACAAGTGGGTAGGGCAGGCAGGAGGACATGTCAGACACTACGTGGTCTTCCTGAATCCTTTTAAGATGGGGTAGATGTTTTCAAATGCTTCATAAATTTCTGCTCTAACTTTAGCACCTACAAAGACACATTGGAATAGAAATCAGATGGTTAAGTAACATTTCTTAAAATAGAAACTAACATCATTACCTTAACACAAAGCCACAAATACAGATCTCTTCATACCCAGTTAAGTAAGACAAATGGTATTGAAACAAATGGTGGAGTCCCCTTGTCACAATCCCAGCCTTGTTTTTCATCCATTCATTTTTTTTCCATTTATTTATTTATTTTTGGTTGTTGTTGTTGCTTTGAGACAGGGTTTTAGCCTACCCTGGCTGTCTTGAAATTTGCTGTGCAGACCAGGCTGGCTTGCCTCTGCTAGGATTAAGGGCCATGGCCAGCTCTCCAGCTGTTTTAAAAACTATTTTCTTAGCATTTTAAGAAAATGATACATCTGGTGACTTTTAACACCCTAGACCATCATCTCTTCATTGCCGTTGGTCCTAGGCCAGGATCCACAAGTCAGCAAGGCAATACCTACTCCCTAGGTCCACAGTTCTTTTCCATACTTGGTCCTGAGTGATATGGCAGCGGCAAGCACTATGGACTGAACCTTTATTCTCCCAACTGTTGGCATTCAATGGAATTCTTCTCAGTCTGGTCATCTAAGAATTGTGTTCTAATAACCCCCATGGTCCAGGGGACCAACTGAAAATAGTCACTTAGTAGTGTTCCCTCCCTGTGAAAACGCCAGCAGAGCTGCTGTCTGCACTCTTCCACCCTTCTCATGAAGGTTAGGATGGGAAGCAAAGTAAACAAAAACAGCCTTACAGGTGGTTAGACAACTGTCCCAAAACAGAAAATGCCATCCCAACATTTTCTGCAATTTTGGTACCCTACTTTCTTTTAACTTACCTGTTAATACAACTTTTCCAGAAACAAAAATAAGGAGGACAATTCTGGGTTTGATCATTCTGTAGATTAATCCAGGAAATAATTCTGGCTCATAGCTAGAAAGAAAATGGGAAAACAGTTTAGAAATCATCAGTTTTCTGCATGGCTGAAAGAGACCTTGTGCCAGGAAGTATTGAGTAAACAAGCCAGATATCTACAAGTAGGACACACAAGAAGAAAACACTTCCACCAAGCAAGAGCCTCTGGTCATGGACATGGCAAGCAACTACTCATTCCATGTCATCCTATCACTTAATGCTATCTTTACAGTATCTGGATTCTCTGTGATAAAAACAGGAGTTGTATACTAACGTTCTCTGATCCTTCTTTAGAATCGCTGTAGACTAGTCTAGGTATAGCAGCTCATAAAAATTTCACCAGTCACTCGTAAGAGCTCAGAGTGACAGCCGGCTTTGTAATCATCTCACCTCCCTGAAAAGGGTGACTTAGCCAGAGTGATAAATAGACATGAGCTTGGAAATGAACCTACTCCTTGACCATACCATCTACCTGAATTGACATTAGGTTAACATAATTCTAACATAGTGATTTCAGGTTTATTAGTTCGGTCCCAAGGATCTGTATTTCTTCTAAGTGATCCTGAGATCAACTCAGGACAGGTTTATATGAGGAAGAGCAACATGAGTGAAAATCTGAAACTCAAAACAGTTTCCTTCTCTCTATTTTTGGTTCTTTTAGATAGGGTTTCTCTGTTGGCTGTCCTAGACTCACTTTGTAGACCAGGCTGGCCTTTAACTCACAGCGATCCACCTGCCTCAGCCTCCCAGAGTGCTAGGATTACAGGCCTATGCCATCACACCCAGCTTCAAACAGGAGCTTCTGTGTTGAAAACTGAACTTAGTATGTCAGTTATAAAAGTACCAAAAGGTCCTAGAGCAAGAGGTATACGGCGAGTGTAAGGGACCTGGTAACCAGGTGTGGCTGCAAATAGAAACAGATGCTGAGATATGGCTGTGAGTATGTATGCTGGGCAAATAGTCACCAGAAAAAGGCAAAGAATACTGGATAGCGTATCACTGTTGCTCATCTTCATACTTTGCTGGTATGTTGACCCCCCAAAAAAGATTCAAACTATAAGTGATATAAGAAACTACAGATTTGTGTATTTAAATGAATTTATTGACTATCAATATGACAAGCATACAGAAGTGAAAATGAGTCATTCTAGTACAGGGGAGTTTGGGGGTCACTAAGCGACTAAGAAATGGGAGTTGTAAGGGCAGCAGAAGGTGCCGTAGCACAACCATAATGACACCTTGTGTTTACAAGGAGCACATTCAACTTGCACCTACATCATGCATGCTTGGGAACTGAGCGTCCTGCATGTACTCCACCCTAAATGATGCCTCAGTAGATAGTAAACAGACTGCTGCTAAAATGAATCCCAACACTTCTTAGACCTACCTACTGAACTGCTGGTGGGTCAGCACGAGGCCTTCTAGCCTTATGGGGAACTTCACATCGCAGCTCCCCACCATGTTCTGGATCTTAAAGTCTAAGAACTTAGCTGGGAAGCCCAACTTCTGCACAACTCGAGCATATTTTCTTGCTGCTAGTCTGGATTGTTCTTCACTACATAAAGAAAAACAGTGAGTTATATAAGGAAGCCCAATGGAAGAATAACTTATACAGAGTCTAAATTAGGAAAGTAACTAAATTATTCCTGTCCTTAACAGAAATCATAAATCTACCAGAACATCAGCTTTCCAGCTGCCACATTAATGACCACCCCTAAGTTTAATGGATGTGATGTAATGTATGATTCAATTATCATGATCACTGCTATTACTACATTCTCATCCACATTTCTGAGATGAAAACTTTAAAATTTACTATTGAAGAATACATACATTCTACCTTCCCATACATCAAATCTCTATCCATTTTTAGGACAGCACTATTGGATAAAACTGATTTTCCGTCTGAAAAGCAGAATACAAATGACAACGCTACAAGAGCGTAGTAGTAACAAAATGAGAATGCAGGCATCAGTGCTATTCAAAGTAACTGGGTAAGCCTTTAGCAATAACATGTAAAAAGGGCCAGCCTCGGGCTGGACGGATGACTCAGTAGTTAGAGCACAAGGTGCTCTTGCAGAGGACCTGAGTTCAATCACCAGCATTCATATAGTAGCTCACACAATCTGTAATTCCAATCCCAGGGGATCCAACTACTTAAGGCTTCTAACTTCCATGGGCACATGGTACACATACATACATGTAGGCATTTATACACACAAATAAATCTTTAAATGGGGGGGGGGGGCTGAAAATAGAAACCATGATATATATCCTTTTCTTCCTTTTATAACACATCCACCAGAAACAAAGAATTCCTTAAGGGTACCTCTTGGCTCCCGTGCACACCATTTTTCCAGAACTAAAAATCAGAGCAGTTGTTCGTGGCTCTCTTATTCTCATGATGACTGCAGCAAACCGCTAAAATGGTCAGAAAGAAGTATTAAAAAGATGTGAACTGAAGGTTGGAAAGAAAAGTTTCACTTATGTTGACCGATTAGAGTTTCTATGATTTTAGGTCCCAGGAAAAAAACTCTTTGCTACACCAGATTATTCCTATCTATGTATTTTTTGTTTTTAAAGATTTTATGTATGAGTGTTCTATCAGCATGTACACTTGCATGCCAGAAGAGGGCATCAGATCCCAGTATAGGTGGTTGTGAGCCACCATGCAGTTGGCTGGGAACTCAGGACCTCTGAAGATCAGATATTGCTCTTAACTGCTGAGCCCTATCAATGCATTTTAAAAGTATCTTTTAAAATGTTTTATTTTTAAATTCTTTTTCTTGCACTTTTTAACTTTTTTGTATTTCTTCTTTTGGGCAGATTTCTTAAAAATGTCTTGATCTTTTCTCTACCATTTTCTAATACTTTTCTCCTTCTCTTTTGAACTTTCCAAGTTTGCACAAATAAAGCAATCCATGAATACTGAAGCCAGCACTGCAGAGTACTTAAAGGAATGCTACATACTGGGGCTGGAGAGGTGACTTCATGGTTAAGAGCCCTGCCTGCTCTTCCAGAGGTCCTGAGTTCAATTCCCAGCAACCACATGGTGGCTCATAACCATCTATACTGGCATCTGATGCTCTATTCTGGCATGCAGGTGTACATGCAGAGAGAACACTGACATAAACAAATCTTTAAATAGTAATAAAAATAAATAAATGATTAAAAAACAAAACAAAACAAGAAGGAATGCTACACACAAAACAAGAAAGACAGATATGAGAGCTCAGGAAAGAGTAAGAACTTTATGAGAAAGGCGGGCATGGTGGTATGACTGTAAATTCCAATAGTTTGAGTTTGAGGCCAGCCTGGTCTACAAAGTGAGTCTAGGACAGCCAAGGCTACACAGGAAAACACTGTCTCAAAAAAAAAAAAAAAAAAAAAAAAAAATATATATATATATATATATATGTGTGTGTGTGTGTGTGTGTGTGTGTGTGTGTGTGTATTCTTATGAGGAAAAAGAAAACAATAAGACTTCAGGAATCAGATAGTGCTTTCTAATAACAGCTCTAAATGTAAACAGTCTTAACTATCTAATTAAAAGACAGAAACTTGTTGCTTTTTATAATCCCACCATTTGCTGACTGCAAGAAATACCCCTCAATGGTAAAGACACTTGTAAACTGAAAGTGAAAGCCAGGAAAATGATAAAATGGAAACAAAAACAAGCAGTGGCAACTATACTCATATCTGACAAAGTAGGCTTCAAGCAAATATTAGAAGAGATGAGGCTACCATAGCTTAGTAAGGGTGAACGACCCATCAAGTAGATATGACAGCTGTAAATACTAAAAACAACATGATAAACTTGGTTAGCTATAAGTGACAAGTGGCCAAAACGAGTTTTGTAGTTACTCTTCCAGTTAGCCTTATACTCACCTAAAAAGCTGGACATGAAGTAGGTCCCCCTGTTTACTATACTTAAGACCATTCTTTCCCCAATCTTTAGATGCTGCTACATTGCCAGTTTAAGATGACACACAACTATTGAAATGATAGCACACTTTTAATTCCAGCATTCAGGAGGCAGTGACAGAAGGATCTGAGTTTGAGGCCAAAAAAAATGAAATCACAGTATGAAGTATACAGCCCTATTACAGACAGAAACATAAAGGAGGCAAGCACAGGGAACAGATTTGCAACCAGGAACTCCTCTTGGTTTGGGACATGCATACACCCTTCTGTTAATAATGCACCTGGCAGCCTGAGACTCTTACCTTCATGCACAATACACATACAGCCCTCTCCAAACCCAGAAACCAGGACGCCCACCTTCATACACAAAGACATCACACTCCAACAATGAACTAAGTTTCTCCTTCCCTTGATGATCATTACACACATTTTCTATTCAGTCATATTCCAGTTACGTCCAAGGACAAGGTGGGGGTGAATGTAGGGACTGAGTTAGCCTGATGTGTTTTTGTGCAATAAGGCAAATCATGTCTTTTAAGCAAGCTTTTAGAGGCTCCTCTATTACCATCTTACACCTGTGCAAAATTGGCATGCATATCACTAATATCAGCTGTATCATGGAAAGAGATAGTCACTATAGAAAAGTTACATAACTTGAATCTGTCAAATAGAAAGCACACCCCTAGCTGGGCATGGTGGTGCACGCCTTTAATCCCAGCACTTGGGAGGCAGAAGTAGGTGGATCCCTGTGAATTTGAGGCCTGCCTGGTCTACAAAGCAAGTCCAGGATAGACAAGGCTATTTTGCAGAGAAACCCTGTCTCAAAAAACAACAACAAAAGCAAACAAACAAACAAAAAAAGAAAACCATACCCCTAATAACTCCTCTTAGTGCTTGAGTCGTTCCTCATTCATGTAGCCCACCCTCACTCCTAACAGTGTTATTTCTCTCTAATTCATACTAACACCTATAAAAATGAATTACTAAAGGTCCATCTATGTGGACCTTTATTTCAATTCCTTGAATAAAAAGCTAAGAACCTGGGGACACCCGGTCCAGATCTTGACCACCAGTATCAGAACTATCAAGTTCTCACAGGAGACCATGTAAGGTGCTGTCACAGGAAAAGTAAGGAAGCTCACAGGAGATACACAGTGACTCCCACAGGAAGAAACCAGAGGCTCTCATGGCCAACATCAACTGAAAATATAAAAAAAGGGGAAAACTGATTCATTGGTGAAGAAATGGGGCTAACCTGGCAAAACTAAGACAGGGTGCTGAGACCCCCAAGCAGGTTAAGGTAGAATACATTTCAAAGTTTCTGAAGAATTTACGGATAACTAGAATTGTGTGTTCCTTGATTAGCCTCTTCCTGGCCACCAGCTATCAGGAGCTGGAATGAAAAGAAAAGACTATGTTTTATAATCTGCCTCAGGTTTTTTCTGTTGTCTTTTTTTTTTTTTTTCTTTCATTTATGAAACTTATTTTCCAGGGCTTGAGAGATGATTGGGTAGGTGAGAACATTTGTGCAAACATGTGGACCTGAGTTCAGATCCCAGGACAACCTTGTCATGGTACCATGTACAGTAACCCCAGTTCTGCAGAAGTGAAGACAAAAGGATCACTGGAGCTTGCTGGATAGAAAAAAAAAAAGAAAGAAAAGAAAAGAAAAGAAAGAAAAAAAAAAAGTGAGCTTCAGGTTCAGGGAAAGACCCCAAATAAAGATATGAAAGAATAAGGTGGAAAGTGATGAGGACATCCTCTGCCTCTGCACATGCTCACAAGCATATGCACGTGCATTTACACATATACACAAAACCAATTATTTTCCTTCCGAGGAAATCTATGAGGTACTGGTTTCCATGGTACAGGCTTACAGGTACGAGATGACAAACGCTTCCCACTTCAGGAAACTTTCTGCAAATCTTAACCTAGCCTTCTCCTTCAACATTCAGGCACGCAGGCAGCTTTCCACCAGGACCCCACAAGTGTCCGCTCATCTGTCAATGCAGATGTGCCCTATGTAAAAAAGCCTTTTAAGACATATTTGGCTGTTGTCTTAGAAACTGGTGCTTTCTCCCTAACCCCGAAATCAATCAGTCAGTATCCCTCGCCTTCAGATCAGAATGCAAAGCTCTCAGCTACTGTTCAGCACCATGCCAGTTTACTTCTGGTCATGATAACCATGGACTAAACCTCTAAAACTCTAAGCAAGTCCCCAGTTAAACATTTTCTTTTACAAGGGTTCCTCTGGTCATGGTGTCTCTCACAGCAAGAGACCTGGTGATAAGATCAAGTCTTTGGCCTTGCTAAGCCAGTGCTCTACCACCAAGCCATACTCTAAGTTCCTTCAAGCTATCAGAAAAGCCATCCGTGGCTGTACCACCCAGAACACACTTGATCTTGTTTATCAGAAAAACATTAAAAGTTGCATAAAGGTGGGAAAATGTAATAAACTTCTTTACTTACAGCCAACAATTATTACTGACCAATCTTGTCCACCCAGATAATCTCCCAATCTCCCACAGGATTACTCAAATACATACCATATGTATTTCATCAGATATGCTTCGGATATAAATGAAATATTGTTTTCCAACACCATGTGTACCCTATTACAATGTGTATGCATGTATATGGATTTCTATATATACAGGAACATATACGTACTAGGTAGTCAATAAAATACAAGTTAAAGAACTGAGGATGCAGCTCAGTGGACAGCACTTTCCTAGTGTGGCTGAGGCCCTAGGCTGAAATTCTAATACTGTAAACACGGGAAACCAAACAAAACAGAAACAACCTAGAATGAACTTTCCCTAGGCAGTTAACATGCAAGATAAGCATGATACTCATTTTGCTGATATGAAGAAACAAGCAAATACAAGCTTTCTCACCTACAGATTTAGGAAGAATTTTCTCTTTATCTTATAAAGTCTGAAATACATGAAAAATGGATCTTACCTTGGGATTATATTCAGCATTTCGGGCACGAAGTGCAATGGTTTTTAGGTCAAGTTTACAACCAAGATTCACTGTGGATACAATATTTCTGCAAGAAATTTGAAAACATGATTACTGAAATATTTAACCATTAAAAAATGAGTGCAACAGTCTTAGGTAAAGCTTACAACCAAGATTTGCTATGAATACAGCATTTCTGCAAGAAATTTGAAGGAAAAACAAGATTAAGATTATTTTTCACCAACAAAATTTTTTCAAAATTTTCACCAAATTTGAAAGAAAAACAAGATTAAGATTATTTTGTCGGTTTTAATTAAACAAACTAACAAAACCATAATACACCAGGTAGTGGCAGCACATGCCTTTAATCCCAGCACTCAGGAGGCAAAGACAGGTGATCTGACAACCTGGTCAGATCTCTCAACAACAGATTTCTTAACAATCTCTACAAAGAAAGTTCCAGGACAGCCACAACTGCAAAGAGAAACCCTGTCTTGGGAAAAAAACAATCAACCAACCAACCAAACAAAAACCTGCTTTAAGTATTTAAAAAGACAGGGCTGGAGATATGCCTCAGTGTTTAAGAGGATTGTCTGTCCTTCCTAAAGGACCCGGGTTCAATTCCCAGTACCCACAGGGCAGCTCACAACTATCTGTAATGCCAATTCCAAAGGATTTGACACCTTCAGATTAATGCACATAAAATAAAATTAAATAAATTATTTTAAAAATATTTAAAGACTTTAAATACTTAAAAAACTGTTTAAACATTAGAAAATGCGTTTTTTTTTTTTTTTTTTTTTAAATAACAGGTATTTTCACTTAGTCCTCAACATGTGCTATAAGGTAGTAACTGTTACTCCCACGTTTAGACAAAGCGGCTGAGCCTCTGGGGAATGTACTGTTTGGCTTGGGACGCACATAACTAACCAGCCTACCCAAACCAGGAAATTTCAGGCCAGTGACAGATCCTGTCTTAAAAACCAGGATGGGTACTGTCCTAAGAAATTCTCCTCCAGAATACGCAGGGAACTGCATGTACATACGCATAAAAATTATCATTATTCACCTAGGTCTAAAAGACTATTTCATGCCACTGTACCACATACATGAAGCATTCTATGAAATACTTTTTTTTTCTTCTTCTTCAAGACAGGGCTTCTCTGTGTAGCCCTGGCTGTCCTAGACTCACTTTTGTAAACCCGGCTGGCCTCAAACTCACAGAGATCTACCTGCCTTTGACTCCCTACCAAGTGCTGGGATTAAAGGTGTGAACCAACACGCCCGGTTAGAACTTTTAATGCAAACTGAGACAGCAAACTCAACTTTCTCTGTAGTTTTCTATTTTTCAAAGTAAATAGACCTGAAACAGACTATCAGCTGTAACACAAGGAATATTGCTGTCCTAAAAATTCTGATTCCAGACCCCGTTGCTTCTAGTTCTCTCTTCACTCTCTAGGAAGAATACTTTTGAAATCCAGTGACTCAAAATCTTGCTGGGAAGCAAGGTGACACGGTACACACCTGCAATCCAGAATTGGGGTGCAAAAGTATTACCAAGAATTCAAAGCTAGTCTGTATTCTATAAATAGCAACTGTTAGCCAGGGTTATCAACTGAGACTGTCTCAAAGACACCACCAAAAAAAAATAAAGTTAAAAATTAAAATTTACTGGACTAGTTTTCTCTGATAATCATAAATTATGTAGAACAAATGTTTTCACTGTTCCAATGTCTATTTCCTCCCTGACCTAGGAAACCATATGGAAAAAAATTCTTGTTTTCCTACAGTTTCTAATACATGAAAATGGGTTCGACACAGCATGCCCATATGTGAACTGAATTTTCAAGCACACTTTGGTGTACCTGCAAAAACTTTAGTCATGTCTTCTTATTTTAGATAGTTATGTATAAACGTAATCTTACTTATTTTAGATAGTTAGATATTGACCTGAATTCTTTACAAGGCTACATATAAAGGCTACTGAACTTTCACCCAGTAAGGAGCATTATTAGTGGAAGCAGTCCTGTGGTTAACTGCATGCTCTAGGATATAGAAATAAGTGTATGTCCTAAGCTGGTTCTAATAGATGAGTTTAATCAGAAGCACAAACCTGAATGCCTGTGGAAGTGAAACAGACATGAAAAAAATAGTTTGGAGTATAGACAATGGAGAGTTAACAGGGTTTATCTCTTTAAATGAAATCATTAAAATCAAAAGCAATTTTAAAACTATACAGGCAAGTTTTTGGGTATGGTATAATAGTTAGGATTCATGATTACATACCACTCGGCTTACAAATAACAATTACATACGTAAAAGGAAAACCAAGTGTAAATAGGAAACAGACACTTGAAAGTAGGAGGGTGGAGTTATTAAACACAAGTGAAAAGTGTTGTCTGCGAAGAACCCTCTAATCAGGCCATAAGATTCCTTGAAGTAAAACTATGTATTTGTTTCTAAGTGGTATCTGAAAGTTTAGGCTGTTTCATGAAGCAATGTGAACCTCCCACCGTTTTACATGTGGGACCTACTTAGGTGGAAAAATTCATCAACACAAGAATTGACACCATCATTCTGAGAAGGACACAGATCTCTAAAGATACAAATGGACCCCTGAGACCTGTGCTGACACTATGCCCAAGCCTGCAATACAGCTGGCCTGTGACTCAAACGATTATCTAAGCGAAATGTCCACACTGTCAATAAGACTCAGTTTGCATTTAAGTGGCCCAAATACATAAACACAAGCAACTCCACTTCGAAGGAAAGGTTTTTACTTTGAGCACTAACTCACTCTATAGCTTTAATTCTGTGTCACGAGCAGGTGAAGCCATGGTATAACAGAATTACCACTGGACTACTTCCTTAAGTAAATCCACTGTCAGAAAGCATAGTGTAATTAATCCCACTGACAGACTCCTATGGTGTGGCGGACAGAGTATAGGGAACACAAACAGGAAAATCATGGAACATGAACACGCACGCACACACCCATGCACACACTAGCCAGGCTTGGTGGCACATGTCTTTCATCCCAGCACTCTGGAGAGACTACACACAAGCACGGAGGCACTCACTGAAGTTGTGGTACAATCCCAGAACTCTCAGAGGCTGGTGTAGCAGGAGTGATAGGGGTCATAGGGGTCATTGGCGAAGGGTACAAGGGTGTGGTGCCTGGCAACGGTGCAGTGGTGAGAGTTTGAGAATGGAAGAGCTGTGGGGTCTGGCCTGAGGCACCCTGTGTGGATTGCTGAGATGTTGATTGCTGTACTGAGGCTGCTGCAGCTGCTACTGTCTGCTGTTGCTGTTGCTGCTGTTGCTGCTGCTGCTGCTGTCTTTGTTGCTCTTCCAAAATAGACAAACTGTTGGTGTTCTGAATAGGCTGTGGAGTAAGTCCTGTGCCATATGGCATCATTGGACTAAAGATGGGAATTCCAGGAGTCATGGCACCCTGTGGAAAGGAAAGAAAGCAATGATTAAGACACTGATGTTGGGTAATTTAGGTTCTTTTCTTGTGGTACCCAGGCAAAGTATAAAGACTGATGTTTTCTGAATATTATGGGTCATTAAATACTAGGGAAGAATTTGCTATCCTGAGATACATCATCATCTTCTGTAGTATTCAACACAGTAGATGAGCACTTAGGATTTGGAATCCATTATCAAATGCAAGAAAGATGCTTAGCCTCCCAAGCATCGACCATAAGGAAAAAAAAAACTAGGGCATACTACCCAGTAGCCAGGTATGGTGGCACACACCTTTAATCCCAGCACTAAGGAGGCAGAACTGTGAGTTCGAGGCTAGCCTAGTCTAAAGCAGATTAGCCTGTCTCTAAAAAGCATTAAGAGACCACTCACTAACTAATCACGTGTCCATTTTGGATAATGGATTATATGGCCACCTAGATGTTCAAGATGATAGTAATCTGACTACTCTATCATACTGTTTAAAAAAAGTTATTTATTCTACTAAAACCAGTCAACAAAGCCTGTAAAATACTGTCAATTGCCTTTTCTATAATGCTTCTATGTTTTACAATCATTGTTAGATTTGAGCCAGACATGTTGGCAGGAGCAAGCTTGTAATCCCAGCACTTGAGAAGGCAGAGGCAGACAGATCTCTGTGAGTTCTAGGCCAGCCTAGTGGTCTACAAAGCTAGTCTAGGACAGCCAAGGTTACGCAGAGAAACCCTGCCTCAATAAAACCAAAAACATTGTTAGATTTAGTAATTATTTATGTGGCAGTAGGAAGAACAAACAAGATGGCAAAACTTCTACTGAATTCGTAACAATGTAGGTCTAATTCTACTGCATCCACACACACGTTTAATATCAAAACTAATGTTTAATTTTGAAAGCAGATTTGGTAGTAATCTTAGGCTAAGAACGCGACTGCAAAAGGAGCAAGAAGAACCCTCTAGAGTAAATGAAATAAATGTTCTATAGCTCATATAGGTAGAACAGTATTCTAAATAAATTGGGTTCCAAATCAAAGAGCAACATGCCAATCCAAATCAGAAATTTTTACAACGTAAAAAAGGCTTGAAAAACAGATATCCATGTTCAATGCTAGATGAATAAACTTCACCTTCTTTTGCTTTCTCTTAAAAGGAATGTCAGCTATCCTTGCCCGTCCCTCCTGCTCTATTACCTGTGGGGAGGCCAAGCCCTGAGCATAAGGTGGAAGGCTGTTGTTCTGGTCCATGATTCTCACTTTCTTCAGTACTCAGTTTCTCTAGAGTAGCCTCTGCATATTTCCTTAGAAACTTCTTTAATTTTCTGGGTTATCTTCACACACTATGAAATAGTGACGCTGTTTGGGAAAAAAAGTTTTAAGTTTAATAGGACACAGGTTTCATGTTCATACGAAATATACACACACAGCTATTTTGGAGCGCGCGTGCAGCGCACACCCACAAACACTCACTTCCTTTAATCCCAAAAGCCTCGTCCATTTTTCCTGTGACTCTTGTAAAAATGACAACAAAATAAAAACTATGTTGCTGTGTGCTTAAATATTCTAAACATTCTAACAGTACTAAAAATTAAAGTGTCACGATCAGTAATAAAAACTTTTAGAAAAAGGGCTGGCAAGAAATGGCTCAGTAGGTAAAGGTATATGCTGTCAGTCCTAACAGTCTGAATTCACTCACATGGTGAAAGGAGAGAATAGACCTCACAAGATCACTCCTGACATAAATGTAATTTATTTTACACTTTATCTGTGTGGGTATTCTCCTACATGTGTGCCTGTGCAGCGCTTGCATGCCTGGTGCCAGCATAGGCCAGAAGAGAGGCTCAGATGCCCTGAAACTGGAGTCAACAGACAGTTGTGAGTCACCATGGGGCCATATACGTATTAAAAATACATATGATTCTTTGGATATACGGCTTATAGCCTGAAACCTGTATGTTCTTTGTGAAATTAAAGATGAGAAATGTTTAGATTAAGATTAAATTGTAGGACTGTAGGGATGGCTCCAACTTGGGTTCTCTAGAAGAACAGGCAGTGTTTGTAACCTCTGTGCCATCTCTTTTTTAAGAGCCAGCATCAAGGACTAGCCCTTTGCACATACCTCCGCCCCCACTCCCCAATGGACTTTTTCTGGCAATGGTGGTAGGGTAGGGGACAATGACACCAAGGAAAACTATTTCTAAGCAAACTCTACTATCAGAAGAGAACACTTAATAGGCACTGTTCATACAGCATTGCTGGGTCGATTCTGGTTTTTAAATATGCTACTCAGTTTTATACCCTTCACAATGTCATGTGCATAAAGCTCAAAAATATTGACCTGGACACATTATGCTTTAGGTAATCGTTTTTTGTGTTCCAATGTTAAAGATAGATTAAACAATAAATGAAACATTAATTTTATAAATACAATACTCTTAACTCCTTAGAAAACATTAATGCAAACGATGCCTGGAATCGGGCTTAAATCATCTCTTTAGTGGTCATGGACATGAAATATGAATATGAACTAAGAGACTATGAAAGAAGCTTTTTTTCCCCTCTGTAATTGTAGCAGTGATAGAACCTAGAGCCTCATAAATGCTATGCAAATGTCCATCCTTAATTTTTTTAAGATACATTTTAAAAATCAGTTCAGTTCAACCAGCAGGGCATGGTAGCACAAGCCTTTAATCCCAACCCCCAGGAAGGCAGAGGCAGACTGATCTCTGTGAGTTCGAGGCCAGCCTGATCTACAAAACGAATCCAGGACAGCCAAGGCTATATAGACAAACCCTGTCTTGAAAGAAAAAAAAAAAAAAATCAGTTTGGTTCATGCATACCAAAAACTTGCTCAGAGATGACATAAGGACCAAATGTATCAACAATAGGTGGACAGACTGAATGAGTTAAAATTTCCGGAGTTAAGAAGAGGCACCAGGGCCAGGTTGTAGCAGCACGTGTCTTTAATCCCAGCACTCGGGAGGCAGAGGCAGTTCAAGGCCAGCTGGTCCTCAGAGCAAGTTCCAGGACAACCAGGGCTACAGAGAAACCTTGTCTCAAAAGAGCAAAAAGATGAGTCTAACTATACAGGTAATATGCACACGACTGTTATTAGCTAGATATTTTTAAAAAGACTTTCATTTTATATATGTGTTTTGCATGCATGCATCTATGTGCATCAATGTGTGGAACCTGCAGGTCAGAAAAGCGGCACTGGATTCCCTATAACTGGAGCTTCATTCAGATGGTTGTGAGCCGCCATGCAGGGGCTGGGCACCCAACCCAGGTTCTCTGCCAGAGCAGCCAGTGCTCTTAACCAGCCCTACAATCAAATCTTATTCTAAAGATTCACTGTCAGAAAATATCACACAGAACATGCAGTTTCAAAGCTACAAGTTGTATATCCAAAGATCAACACTCAAGTTAAGCATATGCACATACAGGCACTCTGATATTAGCTGAATCACTGAAAGAATTTCCTAGTCACTTTTAGTGGACAAAGGAACCAAATGATATTCCTATAAACTCACTACTGAAACACTGAGAGATATCTGTTTCTGAAATTATACTAGATACAGATAATTACACCTTTTCTGATATCATCAGAAAATGTATTACTCTGTAACAGAAGTTCTTGAGAGAAGAGGACACAATCCTTATCAATCCAGTTCAATACTATAAAAACTTAGCAAGCACTAAAGTTGCAGGTAAGGCAAGAAGCACGAAAGCTGTAGCCAACATACACGTCTTTGAAATCTTTGCATCTGGGACTGGACCTGGCATGCAGCATGTGATCATGAATGAATGTAATGGAAAAAAGAATACAAGGGGCTAAAGTCAAGGGGCTGGAGAGATGGGCAGCAGTTAAGAGCACTGTTGCCCTTCAGAGGATCTAGGTTTGATTCCTAGCACTGACATGGCTACTCACAACTAGCTGAAAATCCAGTCCCAATGCTCTTTTGTTTTCCATGGACCCCAGGCATGTATGTGGTGCACATACAGATATATAGGCAAAATATTCACATACATAAATCTTTTTAAAAATTAAGAAAAAACTAAACTAATTCAGATACTCTTAAAGCTGGAGCAATCTAACACAGGCCTAGCAAGAGGAACAATGTACAAATCAGCACTACATACCAAAAACAAACAAAAAACCCGAAAGAGACTAGAAAGAGCATGCAGTACGTGAGTGACAGGCTTAGTATGAACACTCAGTACAAGAGACCACATAGCAGCGGTAGGTGGGTTTACATAATTACGAGTGTAAAATGTTATTATACAGGCAATGGTAATGGTTAAAGGACTTTAGAGTGTAATTTGAGTATCTCCTTTGTTAAGAGCAGATAAATATGAGAAAATGAAGACTGAAAATTGAATTTCATAGATCACTGCTTTGGTTGAGACAAAAAGATAATGACAGTTGGATTTAATGTCCAAAGTATAACCAGGGATTTAGCCAGATTATTTTCTGCAAATGAAGTTTACCGAACCGACTGATTATATAAGACTGGGGAATGCAGAGATGTTATACCTGCAGACGATATAAACCATCTTTCCTCCCTTGTGTCGTAAAATCGCAATAATCACTGGTGCACTAATTTATTTTTAGACTGTTTTCAGAGTCTTCATCTTTGGAAACTGAGCCATCAAACTAAATATTGGGGAAATCAATTCTGCACAAGTCTTCAAGAGTCTGCCTAAGCCAGTGCGGCATCTTTTTCCAGAAAAGCCATCCCACAGTTTTGTAAGACCACGCTAACCTCAGCCTAGGGACGGAGAGCCTGTAAATAAAATTGGGTGTGTTAATCTCTATTGTGCTTGAATTTCGGGCTTCTGGCCAGATGCTGAGTCTCAAGAACCGCTTCCTAAGACAACCATCCCTTCGGGGACAAAACAGGCAGCCTTGGGGCTGGGTAAAACCGTCTTCCACCGGGGAAGCAGCTGGGATGTGCGGAGCGTGGTGCACAGACTCGCACACTCGGCGATGGCTCTCAGGATCCCGCCGAAGCGGTGGCCCAGCGACTGGTACCCGCGCAGCCGCCGCAGCACGCGCGGGGGACCGGCCCGGCCCGGCCGCGCGCCCGGTGCGCGCCTCCTCCGGGGACTCGCTGCACAGGCCGCCTTTGTCAAGGGGCTCAAAGCACGGAGAAAGCGGAAAGGATCGTTACCTGGGCAGGGACGGGAGAACGACACGGCCGCGGAAACGCAGTGAAACCGCCAGCAGATAACCGCCAGCGCTACCGGACTCGACCCCGCCGAACGCCTGACGCACACTTGATGCCGTCACTTCCGCCAGTTGCGCTCTGGGCTGGCGCCCGGGACCCGGCGCTCGCGGAGGGAACGAGGGGGCGGGGCTCCGCGGCAGTTCCGGGACGGTATCCCCTGGACAGCCCGTTCGGACTGGTTTTTGGCGAAGGCTGGATAGATGTGGAGTGTGTAGCGGTGGTGGTCGGGGGTGGCGGCGGTGGGGACCGAACTCCAGCCACAGTTCCGTCGCTGTCTTGGTTTCTCTGCGTAGCCTTGGCGGTCCCGGGACCCGCTCGCTCTGTGGAGCAGGCTGTGGTCGAGCTCAGAGCTGCGGGGCTCTGCCTCCCTCGGCGCGGTGTCGCGTTGCATCCACAGACCGGGAACGTACACAGAGAAATGCTAGTGTGCTCCGTTCTTATTTGGTCCAGGCGGCGAAGCGGTGGCTCTTTCCTCCCCCGTTAAACCTTCTTAAAACGCCCGCACGCAAATATGCCCACTGGGATCTTCCTAAGGGATGCCGGAGTCTCTCCAGCTAACAACGCGAACCACCACACTCTGGCTAGGGACACCTAGTTCTGCTTCCTGGGTCTCGTGGCCGCAGCTGACCACGCATCCTGACCATCAGGAGCTTTTAACCCTTCCCCAACGCTGTGCCGCTCCACCAGCGTGACATCCGGGTTAGGCGCCGGCGGGACGCAGGCGTAGACCTCCAGGAGCAACGACAAGGGCGGACTAGAGGAGCCCGGCGCGGGGCGAGGGGGCGGGGCGAGGGGCGGAAGTGGACCGGCCCCGGCGGCCATTTTGCCGTGAGACAGCAGGAGTTAGGCGGGATGCTCTCCACTGCCGCTTACCGGGACCCGGACCGAGAGCTGGCGATGGGCCCCCACGGCTCCGCCGGCCCCGTGCAGCTGCGGTTCTCGCCTTACGCCTTCAATGGAGGGTAAAAGCCCGGGTCTGCCGCGCTCGCCTCGGTTGAGCCTAAGGTGGCGGAGGGCGGCTGTGGGAGGGCTCGCCGCCTGTTGGGGCGCTCAGCCCGGCAGCCAGAGCTTTGAGAGAACGCCCAGGGTGCCGGTTGCTCCAGCAGGGCCGCCTCCAGTCTTTGCTTTCTGCTCTATGGGCTTTCGTGTCTTGGGTCTTGAACACGTTTCTGAAGCCAGTGGACGAGGGCCTGTGTTGTTGCTGGAACACGAAGTTAGGATTGGTTTGTCCTGGATGTAGACGCCTTGCTGTGTCTGTTGCTGAGGCGTATCATCATTTTTATTTAAAAAGGGCTTAATTTTGTAGACCACTGTGTGTGTGTGTATTCTTACTCTCATACTACTTACGCATTTTAATTATCTTTATTTGAAGGATGTTTTTCCTTCGAGTTTAGGGCTTTTGACAATACAGGGGCATTCTTAAATCTTTTATACATTGAAACGGCCAATTATCAGAAAAGCAAAAAAGGCGGTGGTGGCACACGCCTTTAATGCCAGCACTCAAGAAGCAACGGCAGGTAGATCTCTGAGTTCGAGGCCGGTCCCCTCTAGGGCCAGGGCAGCCTGGGCTATATAGAGAAACCTTGTGTGTGTGTGGGGGGGGGGGGGGGAGGCAAAAACGTTAAATATATCGTTTTGTTGTTGAACGTTGATCATGTAGCGAGCGAAAGGTTGGTTTTAGCCTTGATTGTGACATTTGAAGAGCAAATGTGAACGTGTGTGCTCTGTGGGTTCCTTTCAGTTTCCTGAGCAGTTACCTCATAGGTTCAGGGAGACTAAAGGAGGTTACATTTTTGTAAGATGCAAGCAGTTAAGTGAATATTTCATTGTCTTAGTCCTTGGCTCTTGGCTTGTGTTAATTAGAACAGGTTTTAAATTCATAGTGTTCTCAGCCTTGTCACGGTTTTGGTTTGCTTTTCCATTGTGCTTCCTAACTCCGTGTGAACACTAAGAACTTACATTACCATGTAAGGTGTGTTCATAACTTCAGGGTGTTCCAAATGCAGTGCTCATAATTCACTTTTAACCTCTTGTAGTTCCTCTTAATCCATATCTTTCTTCATGGTTTTCGTAGTTATTTACAGCTCTCTATTAAGTCATCCTTTCTCCTTTTTTGTTGCTTTTAGCATTGATTGCAACTAGTCTTTCAAGCAACCTCTGATTCTACAAAGTTATATTAATTTCTCTTTGTAGCTTCTAGGTTTTGCCACTTACTTAAGACGTTTACATGCTTCATCCCTGGAAACAATTCCAAGTCTGTTTCTGTAACTTTATCCTCAAAAGTATCCTCAATTCTGTCTTCTTTAGGAAAATGTTTCTGTTTTTCTGTTCTTAACCATAACTCATGTTAGTAAACAGAACAAGCAGGGTAAGTATTCCTTTCAGTTTCCTTTGCGCCTTAAAAATGCGTCCTGTGATTATGTCACCACTGTTTATCTCCGTTTAAAATCAGAGATGTTGTAGTTGTTTTCCTCAGTAAACACACTTAGGTAGTTATAAAAACTTGGTTGCATGCATTGGTGTTATATTTGAATTTGTCTTTCTTCCCCCTCTTCTGTCTCTTTTCTGTTATATCATTCTTATTAGAACAGTGTTTATGTCCCATCTTACAGACTGTATTACTGTGAGAATTGTCTTAAAACCTCAGTTTGCAAATGGAACTTTTCTCATTCTTGTTTGCATAACCTTCAGGGCTCCTTGTAAATTCTTCAATCTACCTTGGCACTTGGGACCCTCTATAATAGTTTGTCACACTTAAGGAGTATGAATGTCTCTAGTTACATAGTTAAAGTAAGGACCACCTTAATTAAGGTGCTTGAGTGGACTGTTGTAATTTATTTTTTCCTTCTGTTGCTGTTCATGGTATATGGAATGCTATTCTCTTCGGCTTTGGAGCTTTAGTACAAAACCTTTCTCAGTAAAAATAGTAGGTAATGTTTTCTGGATGTTTATCACCTAGAAGGAACTATGCTAGATATTTTAGGTGAATTATGTTGTTTAATTCTCATTCTCTGTAACGCAACCAGGTACTGTTATCACCATCAATGTGAACATGAATTTATCCAGAGTCACACAACTAAGTGTCATGAGTAGACCTCTTAAGTAATTCTAGTGCCTAGGTGTTCAGTCATCACATGGTACTGCCTTACTGTATACCACACTGAATATTGTTCATTCACTAGAATGAGTGGAAGAGTAGGCGGGTGTCAGGTGGACTTTATAGTTGTCCACCATTCACTTAGTTTACTCATTTAATTTAGTTACTGTTTTATAATCTCTGTTACATACTTTAAAGAAATTGAAGCCTTTGGAAGTTAAGTAACTTGCTCACTTGGGAATGTAACATTAGCATCTAGGTTCTACTTTTGTGGTTTTACTCTAGGGCTCTTATCAGAAACTGTAAACAAGTAAAAGAAAAGCTTGCTTTTGACTATGGTAAGACTACTTTTCCTGGGAAGACATTACACACACAAACCCTCTTCGTGACTGACCTAAGTTTAACTTAGAGAACCAATGAGTTTTTACTGGGGTTGCTTTAATAGGAGCATGGGTAAGGAGATAAAGAAGCAAGAATGACACAGAATCAACTGTATCCTAGAAAAGCCCACCCCAGTGCAGTTGACGACTCATAAAAGCTGTGGCTCTGGATTTCTGGGCAACTTGTAGGTAGCTCACAAGTCAGAAAAATCTCTTAACAGTTTGGCTGGTCAGGGTCTCCTCCCCCAACAGTTAAGACAGGGTCTCCCTATGTAACACTAGCTGATCTAGAAGGCGCAGAGCCTTTCCCTCTCAAATGCTGGAATTCAAGGTGTGAAGAGGTGTGTGTGTGTGGTGTCCCCAGTAATCTCACAAGTTTCCAGTAGATAGAACTTTGTTTCCCCAAGCATTTACTTTATGAATCTCATGAGCCTCCTTCCCTCATTATAGGATGTTTCAATTCGGAGGAGACTGCTCTCTAACACTGATCGTTCATTTAGACATGCTCTAGTAGCTCTCGTATAAAGAAATAGAGATAGTCCTTCTCTGAACTCAGCTTGCTTGTGGAGTACTATCTATACCTGGTCTTCAAGAGCACAAGTGTGTTGCTTTGTAAATACAGTGTTTTCTGTACGTGAATATTTTTGTTTTTTTAATGATGAAGGCATGAGTCAGTGTCTTTCCTAGTACTTCATCTCAGGGAGGTACTGGAATGGTATTTGTGTCCCATTTTACATTATTGTATGTTTGAGGAAATCGAGGCCTTCAGAAGTTAATTTGCCCATGGGCTTATAACTGCTTAATGGGGAGGGCGCCATTAGAATCTAGGTTAGGGATCTTTCAAGATGACATGTTGCCAGGAAGCCTTTTCTCCGATCTTTTGTCTTTGATTTAAATTCTGCTTTTATATCTAGTAGAGTTACCAGATAGGTTCTTGGAGCATGATCTTGTTTGAAGAGACAGAATAGCCACCCTGAAGAATTAACGTTTTTCTATGTTTTTATTCATCAGTACTGTATTGGCAATTGCTGGAGAAGATTTTTCCATTGTTGCTTCAGACACTCGGTTGAGTGAAGGATTTTCAATTCATACCCGAGATAGCCCCAAATGTTACAAGCTGTAAGTAAACCTTTCTTTCCTTTTAAAAATACGTACTTTTATGTGCATGTTTGTTTTATCTGTACATATATGTCTGTTCACCATGTGGATTCTGCAAATTGAACCCACCCAGGTCCTCTAGAAAAATAGTCAGTGCTCTTAACCATTGAGCTATCTCCAGCCCGTATGAATATATTTCTAAAGACATTTCACTTGCCTTTTTGGTGGCAGTTGGGAAGATGTATGGCTAATCACAAAATTAGAATTGAAATAGAAACCAACATGGCTTGAGTTCTTTGCATAGAGGTTTAAGGTGATGTGGAGTAGAAAAAAGGCAACTTTGCCATGTTTAGGTGCTATGCATGGCCCACATCTGCCATAAGAAGCAATGGAGTTTGTCTTGTTTTCCTAATTCCTGGCTATCCAACTTTTCTATCTCATTAACTGTTCTTTCATAAGGAAATTAGAATTAGACTTTATTAGTCATATGTTCATATGTTTCTAACTTCAGTCAGATTTATGAAACTTCTATATGACCCTTGGGTTACATTATACTTACCTTCCCCAGCCCTAGACTGTAAAATAGTCATCCTAATTTTCTTGAGCCTAGTCATATCTTTGGCCCACCTAAAATTAGTGTGCTATAAGGAGATGTTGGCATGTAGACTTCCATGCCTCAAAAACACTGGCTAGTTGTCAGTTTGTGAGCCTTGCTTTATTAACTCATTTTCCTGAAATTGGCTTTTCACAGGACAGACAAAACAGTAATTGGCTGCAGTGGTTTTCATGGAGATTGTCTCACTCTGACAAAGATTATTGAAGCAAGATTAAAGGTAGGTGTATTTGAACATGTCTACCCCGCTTCAACAGTTCCAAGACAGCTGCATTTAGAGAGAGCGCGCAAGTTAGCAGGTGGGTTAGCGTATCTTGTCACACAAGTACTAGGAAACTGCAGCGCATTCAGTTTGCTTAAACCTCTGTGCCTTGTCAAGTTGTCTACCTTCCGTGGGTAGCTTGAGGTCTTTTCTGAAGCCTCTCCTGAAGTGTATCAAGCTGGCTGTGGCAGAAGATCACCCAGGCAGCCTATAGACTGGAGCATGCTTGGAGCGGTTTGCTGACCTTTTCCTTC